TGTGTATTTCCTCTTTGAAAAAAGCAGTGAGGATCTTAAAACTTTGTTAATTATTTACATTAACTTCATGAACTGTGGAATACCCTAGATGTAGCCTATGAACAAAAAACCCCAACATATTTATAACTCTTTTTGAACATTATAAATCCTGAGATATTTGTTGCTTCCTAGATAGCAAGATCAGTAATGCCTGAAAGATGAAATAAATGTGTCTTTTGGGAGGATAGACAAAGAATGGCACGTTCACACAGGCATAATCACACAAATGTTCCAAATGCTACAAATTATTATATTTATTATATAAAAATTATATTTATTATATCAAACATATTATATTATATAAAATTATATATTTATTACATAAAAATGTTGCAAATGTTACAAATTATTAAAAATGTTACAAATTATTATATTTATTATTTAAAAATGTTACAAATGCTGCTAGTAAAACAATTAACCCTTTTCTTGCAGACTCTCAATACTACCTCATTACTTTAATCAAGCACTGATTAATTCATTACCTCAAAACTTACAACTTTTCTACCTCATTACCTATATCAATGATTAGATAATCAATTTGTATAAAATAATTTATTAATGGTTTAATTGAGTTATTGTTTTAATTGATTAGTGTAATTAGAGTGTTTAGTGCAAATGGTGTGATTACTGATTAGTTTAAAAGATCAAGATTCATGTAATTTAATTGATTAGTAAAATTAGTGATTTAGTGAATTTAATTGAACAGTGTGATTAATGATTAGTGTAATTAATTGATTAGCAATTAGTGTAATTGATTAGGCTGATTGTTGCTTAGGAAAATTATTTGACTAGAGAGATTATTGCAATTGATTGATTTGTGTGATATTGGCTATATTGATTACCCAAAATTGTTTCATTAAGTAATTTAATCAACGTACCATCTTAACAAACCTACCATGCCAAGAAAAAAAATCCAATGCCAAACCACAACCTAAAGAGAAAGTAATCCCCACCAATGAATCACAAGACTCCTGAACATGCCTTAAATGCTATAAAACTCTAAAGGATAATGAAAATTCCATCAAATGTTCTCTATGTAACAAATACGCTCATCATGACTGCTTGGGATTACTTGAGTTTCCATACCTCTGCAAATCATGCAGACCCAAACTGGATCTGTTTGAAAGAGTTGATACCATGGAAACATGAATAACATCCCTTGACACCATAGTAGCATCCCTGGATGCTTTAAAAGGAAGATTATTCAACCTTGAAAAAAAAGACACAACGCAAAAACCTGAACACCCAATAGCTACAAACCACATCTCTACCCAACAACCACAACCCAATCCACAACCCAATCCACAAAAAACATAAATCAGACAAATAATGATATCCCAATCCTCATTAGAGAAGCTGTTGAGCGTGAACAGAAACATCCAAACACCATCTTATTTGGTCTAGAGGACATAAATGACAATGATGACATCACAACTGTCTGAAACATCATCAGTGATTATCAAGCATCAACCATCTCCCCTGATGAAATACTTGACATTTCCCGCATTGGCCAAGAGCTCAAAAACAGAGACGGCTCTGTGGCCCCACGCTTCTGCAGGGTCATTTGCAAAAATGAATCAAGCAAACATAAATTCATTTATACTATAAATTCACTTGCCAAAAGCAACACCAACCATAAGAACCTCCGTTCTCGCCCTGACCTAACCATACAGCAACATGCTCGCTCCCATGTACTCCGCACAGAACTCAAAAACCGTCTAGACAATGGAGAGAAGGACCTGTACATTGACTACCATGCTGACTGTATCAAAAGTAAGTCAAACAACCCGCAACTCAGCTTTAACCTTCAACCACAATCCTACTTCAGCCAATCCACCATCACCCAAGACTAGGCACAGTATTTGTAAACAGCAATGGATCATGCCCAGTATTTCCTAGCCGAACCACAGAAAACTACAATTATCTAACACATATCAATTTTACAGAAGACAATGTTGAAAAAGCACCACGCAATCTAAAACCATCTCTATCTATTGGACCAGACGGAATATGTGCCTACTTCTTAAAAAAGCTATCTAGACAACCAACCTGCTCTCTAATAAACAATTTGGTTTCAGAAAAAAACCATGCTGTAATCTGCAACTCTTACACTGCAAAAACATATGGAATACACAACTCGATCAGGGCAAAACAATAGACGCAATCTACATAGACTTCTGTAAAGCCTTTGATTCAGTAGTACATGACAAACTACTCCTAAAACTAAAATCTTATGGTATCTCTGGACAACTGCATAACCAGATAGAAGCATTCCTGTCAAACAGACAACAAATGGTCAAAATTGGGAGCGTCCTATCAAATTCTGTACCTGTCAACAGTGGTGTCCCCCAAGGCAGTGTTTTAGGACCAACTCTCTTCATACTCTACATAAATGACCTCTGTGATCATATTAAGAGCAACTGTGTTCTCTTCGCTGATGATGTAAAGGTGTTCAATACCACAGACAATACTGCTACCCTTCAAAAAAATCTTGACTATGTATCAGAATGGTCAAACAAATGGCAACTTCAAATCTCAACAAATAAATGCTCTGTCTTACATATTGGCAAAAAAAATCAGAAAATAAAATAAAAGCTGAATAGTCAAGACCTTGTTGATGATCCAAGCTCTGTAAAGGACCTTGGAATACTCATCTCTAATGATCTAAGTGCTAGAGCCCACTGTAACTACATAGCCAAAAAGGCATTAAGAGTTGTTAACCTAATCCTACATCGCTTTTTCTCTGGTAATATCACATTACTAATTAGAGCATACAAAACATTTGCTAGACCAATACTCGAATACAGCTCATCAGTCTGGAACCCACATTACATATCTGATATTAGCACAGCTGAGAAAGTCCAGAAATATTTCACAAGAAGAGTTCTCCACTCCTCTACTCATTGTAGAATACCTTATGCCACCAGACTTGAAATTCTAGACCTAGAAAACCTTGAATTACGCTGTCTTCGGTCTAATCTAAGTATGGTATATAAAATCATACATTGCAATGTCCTACCTGTCAATGAATACTTCAGCTTCAACTATAACAACACAAGAGCACACAATAGATACAAACTCAAGGTTAACCACACCAAACTTGATTGCAGGAAATACGACTTCAGCAACAGAGTGGTCAATGTCTGGAATACTCTACCTGACTCTGTGGTTTTTTTCCCCAAACCCCAAAACTTTAACCTTAGACTGTCTACTATTGACCTCACCCCTTTCCTAAGAGGTCTGTAGAGGGCATGCATAAGCACACCAACATGCCTACCATCCCTGTCCTATTTTTTCTTTTATTTTTCTTGTATGTACCCATTTCATGTATTCATAACTATGTATATACTTATACCTATTATCTTGTAAGCGATTGACAAATCAAATAAATAAATTTGCATACCTGAATCAGACATCCTGATGCTAATATTTCATTGTGGCATTTGTGAGGAGGTTGCATCATAGTCATCAATTTGATATCATGGTGGTTTGATTTGGATACCACTGTGAAGTCCTGAACATCTGGAGGACACCAAGTTGAAGGATGGACCTGTAGATCAATAATTTTTGGGAAGGAATGTAGAAAAGGAATGTGTGTATCCAAAGAGGGAGGGAGAACAAATATTTTTAAAACAATTTTCTCCATATTTTCAAATCTTCAATTTTCTGAATATTTTCCTCTTAAACATGTCCTAAATTCAAATCAGCCATTGGTAAATTTAATAACAAATGTTACCATGTTTCTTAAATTATGACAATAAAGAAAAATGTAGTCTTTGACCTAATGGTAATTAATGGCTGCCATATGCTTTTTTTATAAAGTATGATATCTTTTATAATGTCCTTGGTTAGACATTACTAGTCAATTAGCACGGGTAGCTCTGAAAACCAAAGATTATATATTCTTTATCACAATAGCACCAAAAATAAAGATGAAAAAATTTCAGTACAAAAAAAAAGAAATAAATTATTTGAAATATAGTAATGTAAAAAAGACTTTCAAGACTTCTACTATTTATTTTAACATATACTTTTAAAAAATGACTTTGGACAGCTTTCAAAAGAAGATGCCTTCAAATAATGAACTGACCTTGTTAAAATAGGTCTGTAGCATCCTTCACAGCTGGGAAAATCTCTACCCACAAAAGCATTAAATTGCTGAAAGTGCTGGTTTGCCATTTAAAACAACTCATTATCAAATATGATTTATTATATTATGTCATACCACATTGAATGTATATTTTTGCAGAGCCAAAGTTCATTGTCTGTCATTAATAAAAAGTAGTTGGCTTGGCATTTATCTGGGAGACTCTAACCTTTGAGAATTCTTTTCATACATCCATGAAATTATAACCAAGTTTAGACTGAAAATAGCAAAATTATATCATGTTAACTAATTTAAATATTAACATATAAATACACACTTGATTGAACATATGCAGATAGGATATGGTAAATTGTGGTTTCCCTTTAATATGGATCCTGCCTAGTTTGAGAGGTCCCACTAAGGTCTTCCTTTCTAGCTTTTTTTCTGTCCAGCCAAGTTTGTTCCAAAATTTCAGCAGACAGTTGACCTTTAAGGCTGAAGAGTATTTTGTCTCATCAGGTAGAGATTTTCATAGTGCAAGCTACCTGATCCTTCTTGCATAAAGATGCCATGGATTTAAATTCAAAACAGTTGAAAAGTATATTTATTGTCATTATGATCCTTCCTCATATATACCTCCATGCATCATGAGGACCAAAGAAACATAGGAACTTGTAAAAGGTTTTATACTGCTAATGCAGATCTGTTCCTTTATCATTGGTTTATGTGAGGGGGCCAATGTTTGTGCTATGTGGTTTGTATTTACAACCATGGGAAAAGTATAGGAATATTTATATACAATATATGAATACATGAACATTCATCTTTATGCATGTATAAAATACGAAGCAAAATTTATCATTTTTTTTTCTAGGCAGAATATGAACTACTTCCAGATGAAAAATTGGGAGAGAAAGGCAAAGAAATTGTGATGAAATACCTCATCCCAGGGGTAAGGAACACTTGAAATCTTTTATGTTGCTGTTATGCCTAGTGAACAATTTCTCAATAGTATTAAGCTCTGCAACAAATGTTTTAAAAATTATACGTGGGACTATCCTGGAATGATTTTGCCTGCTTGGACATTTCTATGGATTATCAATAGATTCTGTACCAGTAAGTCATTTTAGCCTGATGTTATCTTTGTATACACAGAGGGTAGATTATCTATTTTGGGTATATAATCAGTCCTCCATCTCTTTGCATATAATTATTCAATGACTATGTTTTGCCAAAAAGTTCCATTATTTTTCTATGATCTATAGTAGAGCTATGATGGAACTTTTGTTCCATAAAAGTTTGCATGAAGCATGCATTTAACTTTACAAGACGTTCTCAGTATCTCCAGCAATTGCCAAGTCAATAAAAGCTTGTGTATATGTGCAGAATCTGACAGGTACGCTTTTTCTAAATTTTAACATATAACAGAGCTAAAAGAAATGAGAAGTAGACATAAAGTATTTCTTCAAAGCAATTTTCAACAAACAGAATCACACATCACTTCTGCTGTATAGAGCTGCTTGTTAGGACAAGTTGAAGTCAGTTCCTACAGACTTAAACAATAATGTATGTTGTTGAAGCCCAGGTATTTCACAGTGATAAAATTGATCTGAACATCATAATAAGAATCAAAAGACCTTGGGATATTCATAACAAATTTAATTTAACTGCAATCCCATTATAGATATATTTTCATGTGCAAAACCAGGCTGAACTCTATGTCAGTGGTTCTCTCCATTTTCACAGAAGAAAATTTAATAATTCCTATAGAGTAAGTTCCAGTTTCTTTCCAGCCCCGTCTCCGTGAAATTAACTGCTGTCAATAAGCCAACCATTTTGTCTAGGAATATGTAATCTAATTAGCATGGTGGAGTTACATTTCTGAACAATAATTAGGTTACTAATGAAATTGTGGTCTTCCAATGTAGACTGTAGAATTTAGATTTTTTTTTCATCCCTTTTAGTAATTTGATCTAGTGGCACAACTGTCCTTTTCCCTGTACTCTCTACTATTCAGCTATGCACATTGTAAGGGTCAGGTGCATTCATCATTCCTATGCAAGTTTTTATCCAGTAAAGGGGGCGTGCATAAGCGCACCATCGTGCCTACTGTCCCTGTCCCTATTGTTTCTCTTATTCTTTTATTTTTCTTATATGTACCCATTTCATGTATTCACAACTATGTATACACTTATACTTATTATCTTGTAAACAATTGGCAAATCAAATAAATAAATAAATAAATAAAATAAATAAACACAGCCTGGGAAACAGTCAGTGAAATGAGAAAGGAATGGAATATTTAAGTCTCCTTCTTAAAGGAGATATTTCCTACTTTTTAAATGTTAACTTACAAATGAAGATGATATTTCTAACCACAAAAAGCTTTATCTGATCTTCCTGGGGAAAGTTTCCTATTAAAATGCACACTTCTCATTTCATAGCCACATATGAGTTCTAGCAGTTACTTTTCTTCAAGACTGAAGCAATGGTTTTGCCACCATCATCCTTTTCAGCTCAGATGTTCCCTTTCATCTTATATGAGGGGGTCATTATACTTAAGCTGGGTTCCAATAATTAAGAGACATTTGAGCCCTTGCCAACTTGGCTTAGATCTTGCTACTTGTAAGAAAGTATATGTGTGAATCTGTATCCATTAGGTGGCAATCTCGGCAGAACACAGATTCTTATGAGTTAGTTTGATGTTAGCAAATGGACTGAGACACTTTACTCTGTTATTTTCATTTGCTTGTTGCCTCAGTGTCAGAAGCAGTGGACCAAGGAAGTGCTAAGCCTTAAATAACTGAAATCCCTAGGCTTTCTTGACTACGACTGGGGTCTATGAGCATTGTTTAGATTCCTTTTCAGGAAAAACATGCCTGGCCCATGAAACAACATTATATCTCTTTTAAGAACATATTATTCAGAGCCATGGTGGCACAGTGGTTAGAATGCAGTAATGTAGGCTAACTCTCTGCTCATTCCAGGAGTTCAATTCTAAGAGGCTGAGGGTTAACTCAGCCTTTCATCCTTCTGAGGTTGGTAAAATGAGAACTCAGATTTTTTTATGGGGGGGGGCAATATGCTGATTCTGTAAACCGCTTAGAGAGGGCTGGAAAGCACTGTGGAGCGATATGTAAGTTCTATTGCTATTCTAAATGTTGCTATTATTCATCCATTAGGAGAACCAGAAATGAGAACCTATTCCTTTTTTAAATTAGACTGTATTTTACTTTGAGAACCTGAAAGCTAACACAGGGAGCAGACTAATTAGTGCAGAAAGACCATTTATCTTTTTCTCTTAGAGCTTAAGTTAGCATGCATTTAGTATCGCTGTCCAGGAGGACTGATTTCTTTTAAATTTTGAGAATAAGTATTTGAAAACTTTCGTTTACTAAAAATCCAGATGAATTACCTAGGGTTTTGTCTCCTGTCCATATATAATGTAATGTAGTCAGCTTGGCCCAATATGTCATGAAAAGAGCAACTTTTCCCAGCCTCAGTTCTCAGGCTGAAGCCAGGCTTCAGGGACCAATTCCCAGCTGAGCAAAGAAAAGTGATATTCCCTGTATTTTGCAAGAGATGCTGAGAGTATATCTCACTCTTCTCTGTAACAGAGATGCAATATTTCTGAACAACTCTTTAAATATATCAAAGGATTTTTCATTTATACTGTAAATATTTTTTTTAAAAGAAGAAAACTGTTGCATTCAAAATTCATTGCAAATATCTGGTTCAAATCTTTTGTCTCATATGTTAATAACATCGGTGTAGTCAGTTAAGCAATAAGCAAGCTGTCTCATGTAGCAGTAGTATTTTTGGAGAGAAAGTTTACTTCTCAACAAAAAATTCACACAACACTCAGCTGTCTTATGCCTATACAGGCACGTACCCAAAATTGACATGAAGCATAGAAATGGTTTCTGCACTAAAATGACTGTATGACCCAAATTTCACATCTTCTGGAAAATTGTATCCAAGACCTTAGAAAAATGAAGTGACAGTTCCCAGATATGTTTGAAAACTCATGTCTATTTTAAACCCAAGTAACATTTTAAAAAGTACAAAAATAAATTCAATACATTTGTAAATAAATACAAGCCTCTTTTATTCCATGGTCTGATTGAATTGTTCTGCTGCAATTAAAAAAAAAGAGTTTCAAATTATCCTGATTCCAATGACATATTTATGAATGAGAAATACTGCCTGAACCAGTTTTCTCACTAATACCATTCCCTGTTGCTGTAGCTGAAGGTCTTAGTGCATAGGAAAGGAAACAGTACATAGAATAAAACACACAGAATTGTGGCGCTTCGAGTAAGCAAGAACCTTGATAATACAACATTCATGAACACTGAGTGGCTATAGTGAAAGTAGGGTATTGGCAAGAAGAGTATTTCTCAAAAGAAGACTCTTGAAGTCAGCTAATACAGAAGGAGCACCTGGATGGAAAGCAAATATTGGCAGCCAAGAATTGTATTCTTATGTTTACCATGTTTAGAATAATTAAAGGAATCCAGACTTTCCATTAAACCCAAATTTATTTTGGTAGTAATCTTGCAGGATGTGATAAGAACTGAGGAAGGCTAAAACATGCTCATACATAGAAGCAATTACTCAGATTTATTAGCAGTGTATTCACCAGGAATCTTTTTTTAAAAAAAGTGAACTATATGTTTTCATGTTTACCAGACGTAGAACCCTAAATGATATTAAATTTGGCTTCATGAAATAATTAACTTTGATCTAAAGCCATTCCATCCTAGAGGAGTGCAGGTGGAAACTTTTCTTTCAAAATGAAAATAAATGATCCTGTCCAGCATGAATGAGAAGCAATCAAAAGACCAAGTTTAGTCATTTAAAGGCAGAATTGTCCTTGTGGATGTTCCCATATAAAAGAAAATACATCCAGTTCAGAAACTGATTTAACTCATAAGCAATCAGAAGTTTTTGTACTATGACTTATGGCAATTGTAAGAAGTCAAGTTATTCCAGTACATCTTTTGCCCACCACTGCTACTCCAAGACAGGTGATAATATACTCAGATAAGTCAATTTTCTATATGATTTCTAGAGAAGCTATTTTTGTACAAATAGCAGATTTTGAGAAGTTTTCTCTATAGGAATTTTAAAATAATTTTAATTTACAATACATTGAAAGAGAACAGAAAATGAAATTCCTATATTGAGCCTGTTTAGATATAAACATTTATCTGAAAGAGAATAGTTTTCAGAATTATCTTTGTTTTCATAAAATCAAGACAGTGATGAACCCAGATTAATTTACCTGTTGTCTCAGGAGGTGAAATTATAAATTGCAATAGCTTTTGCTTATACACAGTTTTGTGAAATAGATAGATGGAAATGATAGATGTTTTCATATAGAATATGTCAGGAGCATCCTCACTTTTATCTCTGCTGATCTTTTCACCAAATATTCTTTTGGATTTGACTTCTATTGTTAAATGAAATCTTAACCACAAAGGAATGTCTCTGTAAGTCACATATTCTGTATGTTTCCTTTACTTGTTTCTTAAATCAAAACCACCATCTCTTTTCTATCAAATCCGAGCTCATGATCTTCTCTCCTGCCATCATTATTTGTGTTCCTTTCTAAACTGATTTACAAAATAGATTAGAAATGTGAGTTAAAATGCTCTCTGTACCATTCTGTACAGATTCTGAAGTCTAAGTAGAACATTAATATAGGTTCTTAACTACCATTAAAGTTCTTTTCAGTTATTGAAGAACAATAACTGCATCAGTTTTATGATCTGAATTCCTATTTGCTATCTTCTCCTGAGGAAAAAACCTAACCCTGGAAATTTTGGCAGGTGAACAGGAGAAGGATATCATTTTAATATTGCCAGAAGTAGGAAGAGGGAAGAACAACAAATTGTCCCCTTTGCTTTTTAAAACAAGCAATGAAAGAAGGAACTCGCACTCTTACAA